AATTAGATTTGGCGGCGTATAATTTTTTCGAGAACTTTGTGATTTAGGTGAGCCTACGTAAATATTTAATTCAGCAGAAGCGCGGAATTTTGAGCCGTGATTACCATTTTAGATTGCTGTCGTAATGTAATCAATTTCGCATTCATAAAAATACACAGTTTAAATTCATCCATTCCGTCTTTTCTCCGGATGATGAGTTTCGATAATTTTCGTTTGTGTAGTTAATTAATTACTTTGTTTGCTAATTCCGCCGTATTGAATAACGGCCCACGGCGAAGCTTTACGAGAACAAACATTTGATATTTCGCAATTAAAATTTAAATTACATCCGGGGAATGAATTTTGGGAAGAATGATACATTTGCGCATAAACATTTGTCTTGCCTGCTGTATTCTGAAGGACCAATAAAGGATCATACAAAGTGTTATGAAGGTGTTGAAGAGTGAGTCTCGTGAAACGAGTGCCTCTAAATCATACAATAAAGCGCTTTAGAGAGACATTTAAGTTTTCTCGTGTCGGTGAAATTCTCATGAAAACTTTGGAATTTCCACTGACATTGTCTTTCAGTGCATACTTTGGATCGCAGGTGGCACTGAAGTTATCCGAACAACTACCGTTATGACATACGACTTTTCTAGTTTTATTATTTTTCTCTTAGATTACAGCCGCCTTTTCCCCCACTTCCTTGCTACAAAGAAATACTTTTAGGGGTTTGCTGAAAATCGTAAACGGGGTTTTGCTTGCTCATGCATCTGTTATGACTAAGGGTCTTCATTTGCATATTATGTTTTGACATAAGATTATCAATATCTGTCAATCTTCATCATTTCAGATCCTTTGTTATTGCCTGACCACTCCACTCTACTGAATTGATGTTTGGTGTCCATAATCCTCTTGAAACCGTCGATTGTCATAAATCAGGGATTATGACATGGCTGTGGTAAAGTAAATTATTATAGATAGAGACAAAGAGATTACCTATAAAATGATGGTCATTTCATATCGAGCCGCATTTATAATTATTGCAAACAGAAAGCAACCGATTGAAATTATTATATTTGTCAAAGGTATAACGCATTAATTATTAAATTATTATAATTCGCAACAATACTAATAAGTGTTTTAATTCGTGTTTTTATATTATGTAACACAACCACAGTATGGTGTTTTTTTTACCTGAAATAGTGTAGAACTATATGATTCAGTCCCGCCAGTGCTTCTAATTGCAAATGTTATCTCACAAGCTAAATAAAACAAATCCTTGGCAGGAACTGCCACTTCCTTTTTATTCCTCCGAAGAAGAGTTAGTCGAAAGACTAATTATCCCGACCACTTGCCTAAGCAAAATCTGGCAAGTTATTACCCGAAATAAACTCACATAACAACCCGACTTCCGAGATTAACCGGTAAGACATTAGGGCGGAACATAATTTAAACACAGAAGAAAAAAGTAAACACCTTTAACAGGGCTAATCAAATTAGATTTAAGAAGCCAGTCTGCCGTGAAACGTTTCACTGGAGGCGACGTAGTCGCAGCCTAAGTTAATATCCTGGCGGCATGGCAACTTCTTTCCCTCTTTTTGGAAGCTACTTCGTCTTTGAGAGAATTTCTGGATGCTCTGGATGTTTGTAATTAAGTTTTCGGAGATTTTTAATTTTCTTGGTTAAAACCGACGTCGCGGAATGCGAATCGTCGTAAAATGCAGCTTCGAACGGAGCGCTCCCGCTGGAACGGGAATGTCGGGAGCACTCTTCCGGAGCTAAATTTATTACGCGAAATCCGGTGAATAAATTGTGTCAATATTTATATTTTTAAATAGGCGGGCGGGTGTATTTCGAGAAACGGGGAAGGTTATCTCCGTTTTGAGAAAATATTTGTGCTAGGCTATCGTAACGTATCGGAATTTGGAATTTACAAATTAAACTCCTATCTTCAAAGTTTTATTAAATTTATCCGGGTGAAGGGTGAAAAGTTAAAAAATATGGTAGAAACCAATTTCTGACAAACACAAGTGTTTGACTATTTGTAAATTTTTTTTATCCCGCCGCATCCACCATTTTTATATAAAAACTAGCTGACCCCGTGAAATTCGTTTCACCTACAATTTAATTTTGAATCTGTAAAACCGAATGCTTTGAAATCTTGCAGATGTTTTAAACATAAATTTTTATTCAAAATATATTTACTTATCCCCTGTAAAAAATTGATGACGTCAGCCCAAAATTTTGCCAAATCAATCCTTTTTAAAATATCCAAAATAGGATGAGACTATACTTGTGATTTATCATTCCATTCATATTTTATAGTTTTGCTTATAGGGAGTGTCTCAAAAAAATTAATCACTGAGTCAGTTTATTTTATTGATTGAATCAAGAATTGCAAAACTGAATTTTGAAATATTGCAGACGTTTTGAAGTTAATGTTCGACATGGTACGTTTTTAATCAAAATATATCTGTTTATCAAGCCCAAAAACTTGATGACGTCATCTCAAGATTTTGCCGAATAAATCCTATCTAAAATGTGCAAAATATCATCAGTATGTTTTCGTAATTTATCATTGCATTCATATTTTTTAGATTTGCTTTTACAGTGACTCAAAAAAATGTATGGATCAGTCAATTTATTTTAGAGAATAACTCAAGAGTTGCAGAAATGACATAACTAATATAATTCATAATGTTTAAGAACACGAGGTTAGCAAAAACAAATTAGTTTGTTTAAACATTGTTAAATTAACCCCGAACATGTACAATTTCTGAGCGAAAATGTTAAAAATAATTTTTGCAATATCATCGTAACGTACGATGATGTCACTGTCACGTGAGCTACCTGATGAAAGGTCACATTTTCGATCCTTTGTGTTCAGTTTTGATTCCGGTCTGGTAGCAGCAACACTGGAGCTCCGTTTTGGGTTAAAAGTAGCACGTGTTCGCGAATTTCTAATATATTGTTAATAAATATTAGCGAAAATGTTTTGTGTTAAGTGCTGTGAACACGAAGGATAGTGGATATTGTTCCGAAAAGGCCGATAATCATGGTAAGTACGATTTGAGTTTTAATTTACTGGGTTCCGTGATTTGTTTACTCGACAATGTTTAACTTTTGGGAAGATTTTCGAAACGATTGAAGTTGGTTGATCAAAGCTATACATTTTCGCTATATAAATAAATAAATTTTAAACGTAATTAATATCATTTATAATATTTAAATATGATAAGCATCAATACACGATAATTAAACCGAAACTCGTTTTCCTACAAACCCGAAATTATTAAAAACAAATCAATTTGTTTAAACAATGTTAAATTATCCCCGAAAATGGGCATTTTCCCGACCAAATTTTGAAAAATCATTTTTGCAGTCTCATCGTGACTTTGCATTTGTATTGTATCTGAATTGTATCTGTATCTGTACTGTATTCTGTATTGTAGTTACATTGTCGGTACCTGTATTGTATTTCTGTTGTATTGTACTGTATAACGTTCTATCCCTCATTAACAAATCCTAGCCCTCTCCTTTCCTAGAGAGATCTGCTCCAGACTTTCCCGTGGTTCTTGCTGAGCATCAACTATCGAGGACAGAAAATTCAAATTCAAAACCAGTAAAGTTTCACAAAAATCTTGAAAATCGCTCGTTGTTGGCCAACTTGGAGCAAAAGAGACTTTTGTAACTCAACTAACTTTGTTAACTTGGTATTCTTAAGGAAACAAAAATATATTACATTTAATTTATTATTTATAAGGACAAATAGTCATTTGCCACACCGATGTTCATTTTTAGATTAAATGCTCACAAAACGCGTAGATGTTCAATTTGTGTCCGGGGAGATACAATGTTTGCAAGTAGGTACTTCGTACTTCGAATATGAGTATCTACTCAGTTTTATTCATACCATCCAATGTCTCGCTTCAATCTTTGATTATTATGTTGATTATGAGTACGGTCCTGACTACGATAAGCAGAACACGCCCCGAAATCCAAACTCGAAAATCGAGAGATATCGAGCGTCAAAAGCGAAAGAGAAGTAGTAGAAAACAAAGAAGTGGAGTGGAATAACAGTAAGAAGCACCAAGAAGTGTAAGGACAGTAATTATTAGGGAAAGTGTGGAATCAAAAGAACCTAACCTCCGAAGAGATAGTCTGGGTGACAGTTCTTATCGCGGCACGAAGTAAACAACACAGGAACGTACTAGATACACAGGAAGCAAGAAAGTCGGCCAGGGAATGCTAAACGGGAATCCTGAACCGGAAAAAGGACACAAACTAGCAATAGAAGGACAAGACAACCAGAAACGAAAAAGAGAAACCTCCTTTTCACCATCACCGGAAGGTCAAAGAGTACAGAGGAAGCAGAAGAGGGTACAAGCAGGAGACATGGACGGAGTAAAGAATATGTTCAAAACGTTAATGGAGGAAATCGCAGAAATGAAAAGAGACCAAAGAGCATACCAAACAGAAGTAACAACACTAAGAGAAGAAAACCAAAGACTGACCAAAAGATTAGAAAGAGTGGAGCAACACTTAGAAAAACTGGAAAAAGCAGAAACGAGAAACAACATCGTAATCAAAGGAAGGAAACTACAAGGAAGCAAAATAACAGCAGAGGTTGAAGAACTCCTAAAAAATAAGGTAGGAATCCAAACTAAGATACAAGACGCAAGATTAGTCAGCGAAAAATACGACATAGTAGTAGCAACGATAGAGAACTGGGACACAAAAAGAGCAATCATGAAACAGAAGAACAAATTAAAAGGATCAAAAACGTTTATTGAAGACGATTACACCAAACAAGAGGGCGAGATACAGAAGAAAATAAGAGGAATAGCAGCAGCAGAAAAAGGGAAAGGAGTCGAGGCAAAAGTAGGGTACAAAAAGATGATATGGGCAGGAGAAGTCTGGCATTGGGACACTAAATTAGACAAATTAGTGAAAGCACCGTCGCACCCCAAAGAAAATCCAAAAAACTAACAGAGGAAGAAACCACACACCGGAAAACAATGACGACGTATGCAAAGCTCATGGATGACCCGATAGGAATTACGAAGAGAAAGAAAAACCCGAAAATTAGAATAGGAACATGGAATGTTCGAGGAACATATAGCGAAGGAAAACTCAAACAAATAGTTCAAGAATTACAAAGGTATAATATAAATGTAGCAGCTATACAAGAGGCGAAACAAAAAGGCAAATTCATTACTGAAATAGACAACTACATATTATTTAATAGCGGAATTGACAACAGAGAACTAGGAACAGGATTCATGGTGAAGAAGAACCTGAAAGGAGTAGTAATTACCTTCAAACCAATCTCAGAAAGAATGAGCTATATAAGATTGAGAAGTACTTAAGTACAGGAAAATAAGCCTAGTGAATATACATGCACCGACTGAAAAGAAAGATCTAGAAGTAAAAACAGAATATTACGAAGAACTAGAAAGAGAATATGCGAAAATACCAAAGCATGACATTAAAATGGTTATAGGAGACGCCAACGCAATGATAGGTAAAGAGAATTGCTACAGGCCAACAATCGGGAAAGAAAGCAAACACCAAAAAACGAATCAAAATGGAGAAAAACTGATAGAGTTTGCAGAAGAAAATAAAATGGTAGTGAAAAGCACCTTCTTTGCGCAGAAAGAGATCTACAAAAGCACATGGATGTCACCTGACGGAAAAACGGTCAACCAAATAGACCACATACTGGTAGAAAGGAGAGATGCCCAACTAATAACCAGATTAAGAAGCTACAGGGGAGCAGAAGCGAATTAAGACTACTTTCTAGTAAGAGCAGACCTCAAACAAGAAATACCGAAGAAAAAAGAAGGAAAGAAGACGCAACGTGATATAAATGTAAACAAACTTAAGAAAGCTGAAGTACAACAGGAATACGAACAAAAGATGAATGAGAGAATAAGATCAACAGAGCAAGACATACCTATAGAAAAGAGGTGGGAAGAACTACAAGAGAACATATGGAAGACCTCGGAAGAAGTACTAGGGTTCGTCAAAAAAGACAACAAAAATAGAAACGAATGGTTTGACGAGGAATGTAGAAAAGCAATAGAAGCGGGGAGGTCAGCCAGACAGAAATATCTAAAATCAAAAAATGAGAAGAACCAAAAAGATTACCAAGAAAAAAGGAAAGAGTACAAGAAGATATGCAGAAATAAGAAACGAGCAAAGATGGAAGAACAAATACGACAAATAGAAGAAAACTTCAACAAGAACGAAATAAGGAACTTCTACCAGGACGTGAAAAAAGAGAAAAGAGGCTATCAACCACGAGTAATATATTGTAAAGACAAGGACGGCCACCTGATAGGAGACGAATAAGCAAGAATAAAACGATGGGCAGAATACTTTGAAGAGCTGCTAAACGAACAGGATACACAGCAAGATACGAACGAAAGAGTGAACGACTCGGATGACCCAGATGAAACAATAGAAATTGACGAAGGAGAGATCAGAGAAACACTAAGGCAGATGAAAAACAACAAAAGTCCTGGTAGAAACGGAATAAAGGACGAGATGCTAAAGTACGGAAGAGAAGCAGTAGCATCAGACAGAGCTGTTCAAAGTACTCAAAAAAAGTACTTGAAGTACCAAGTACAAAGTACTATTTGAAATAGTGTTCAAGTAAAGTACCAAGTACTTACTTTCAGCAAGACTATTTCAAGTATCAAGTACTTTTCAGATCTACTTGAAGTACAAGCCAAGTACATTACTTCAAGTACTTACGAGTACTTGAAGTACTGGAGGTATACTTCAAGTACTTACAAATACTTGAAGTACTGAAAATGCTTCAAGTACTTTCTAATTATTTGAAATACTGTAGAACTAGATAACTTTTCCTGTTTCTTTAAAAAAGCTTAATATATTTTAGAACTGAATTTTTTAATACTCAGAATTTAAGTATACAATAATACATATTTCGCCACATAAAAAATTGCATAAGCATCAACTTAAATGCAGAATGGTAGCTCACTTATTAATAATACTATGTTATTTATAAACAATATTCTTTTGACATACTTTTACATCTTTCTGTTGACACAATGCCTTCGACAAAATTAACGTCTATTTCTAATTTAAAATTTAAAATAAAATACATGACGGCGTTGTCTATATATGCTTACTATTAATTTATAACAAAAACATCGGCGCTGTATGGTATTTTCTCAGGCTTCTGTTGCCTTTTTTTAATATTTTGAATTTTGGTTCACCACCAAAACGTTCTGATTTTTTAATAAAGTTGTGTTAAAAATATATGAATTTTATGAACCGGTTCCGTGTTTAAGTTTGTGGGTAGTTTACAGCACCCTTAATCATTACCCATTGTGAAAGTGCACAGGGCCGGATTTGTGAAACTGAAATTTTTCAGAAAAAAATTTTAATAACAGTGCGATACATATACATGCTCATGACATAAAAATGTTTAAGTCACTATGTTGCATTTTCAAAAAAAAACGTATGAATTTTTTAAATAAAAAATAAAATGCCTAAAACGAGAGTCCATTTTCAGCGAAAACTATAACTCTTGAAAAATATCAAGGACATCAAAGTAATTAGTCGTTTTTTACTTTTGCGGTTACCAAAAATGTTGAGAATTTTCTTGGAATGAATGCCCCATATTCCTGAATATATCTGTCTACCACTTACGTATTTACTATTCTAAAAATTATTAAATTAACCTAAATACTACAGTGACTAAATAGTAAACACTAATCACTACAATGTTTGTCTAACTAAGTATGTAACTTTACACTGACAAATCACAAATAATAGGTTCGTAATGCTGTTCCGTCCATTTATACAAAATTTTGTTCTTCTAATGCCACAATACTTTCAGAATTTTCCTTTACATTGATAACTACAACGACTTCAGGGAATGCCTAACAACGGCTTTTGCGAAAATTCAGGTAAATATGTACTAAATTTATTATTGTTAAAATATTTCGTAGGGGTGTATTTATCTAAGCAATTATACTAACCAATCGCGAATTTCATTAACTTTGTATTTTTTTATAATGTGAATATGTATTTTGTTCCATTTACGGAAGCGGCCACTGACCCTTTTGGGTATCTTTACCTGATATTGTAAATACAAATGTAAATTCAGTACTCCTGTATTTAAACATCGAAACCGAACGCTGTCTATTATTTCGCACACAACAAAACAAAGGTCCTTCGAGCAATATCAAAGTACAATTCGGTACTCATCAAAACCATACAATCATGGTCGTATCAACTGGATTACAAAAAACATTGGTACTACGAGCCGAGTTTCACAAAACATATTTCATTTTGAACAATATTGGGTTTATGTAATAAGCGATGCAATGTAATACGTAAAGTTGTTATACGGTAATACGAGTAAATAAAATCCGCACAGGAAATATAAATGACACTAATTAGTGTGACTTTTAAAATCATTGTTTTTCTGCATTACGTCTTTTTAAATTGTTGGTGTTCAAATAATTCATACAATTTAACAGATTATTTGAAACTGTAATGTGAGAAAATATAAGTAGTAATAACAAACTAAGTTTATATGGCTGAACCATGTATAAACAAAAAAAGAAAATTTGGTAAAAAACGAGTGTCTAACATGATAAAGAAAATTAAACTGCAAAATATTTAACATAAAATTGTGTTTAAATTCTACGAGGAAGAGGCGAATATGAAAGTCTGTACCTGCCATCAGGTATTGCTATTGTAATAAAAGGGATAATCCCCTGCCGAGTTCTCCGCCCTGACCAGGCAGGCTTCTTACTGACAAATACACGGCGGGGTTAATAAACTAATGAAAGAATAACTATCTTTTTGAACGAGTACTGAATCATTTCTCAAATATTCTTAAATTCGACCTTGCACTTTAGCAGGTACGTCAACAAACCCGATTCCCTTTGGGGTACCGGGAAGGTACTGAAAAACTACCCGCAAAGTTAAGTTCCAGACCAAAATACAAAAAAGATAAAATTCATATATTGACAACTCTACATCGCTGAAAATTTTACACAGATCTCCGACCCTTCTGCTGTCGTCATCCACTCTCAAATGACATATTTATGACATTAATTTTCTTACCTACCTATCTATCGGCATTATGCAAGTACCTATGAAATGTACGTCATATTGTAGATAAGATATCCACAATCACAGATCAAAATATAACCTCACAGGAAACAAACACGATTTTACTATAAAAATACATCTAATCAAATAATTGAATTAATAACTTCAAGTATTTAACAGACCCTATTTTGAGATGTGAAAACTTCGTAAAATAGAGAGTAAAGTATTTGAAATTTCCACTTTCATACTTCAAGTAATTCAAGAGTATTTAAAATACTGAGTGAAGTACTTGAGTAAAGTACTTGGCAAAATCAAGTACTAAACTCAAGTACATTTTAGAAATACTCCAAGTACCAAGTACCAAGTACCTAAATATAAAAGTACTTCAAGTAAAGTACTTGAAGTACTTAAAGTACTTGAAGTATTACTTCAAGTACTTTTACTTGAAGTACTGAACAGCTCTGGCATCAGAGATACATCGACTAGTGCTAGAATGTTGGAAGGAAGGAAAAATGCCAGAACAATGGAGTGAAGCAGTACTTTGCCCGATATTTAAAAAAGGAGATATTACGAAATGCGAAAATTATCGCGGAGTAGCGCTGCTAGACGTAACGTATAAGGTAATGGCCACTTGCATCAACCGAAGACTAAAGCAGCATATGGAAAAAATAGTAGGAAAATATCAAGCAGGGTTTAGGAAAAATAGATCTACTGTAGACCAGATATTTATATTGAAGCAACTACAAGAAGTACATTACGAGCAGGGAATCAACTTATATCTGCTGTTCATAGACTTTAAAAAAGCCTATGACACGGTTAACAGGAGAGAACTGCTAGAAGCCATGAAAGAACTGGGAGTCCCAAGAAAACTAATAAAACTGACAAAGATACCCTGCAGAGCACCAGAAACAGAGTCAGGATAAATGGTCTGTTGTCAGAACCATTCCAAGTAAGAACAGGACTCCGGCAAGGAGATCCAATATCAACTACCCTGTTCAATCTAGTACTCGAAGCAATAATAAGGAGAAGTGGCATCCACAGAACGAGCACGATATACGAAAAAAGACACCAAAATATAGCCTTTGCAGATGACGTGACATGTATAACGAGAACAGAAGCAGAAATGAAGAAAATGACAAAAAATCTAATCAGAGAAGCGGAACGAATGGGTTTAGCGATCAACCAAGAGAAAACGAAGTTTATGAAGATGGAAACAAAACAAACCCCAGCAAAACCACTGAAAGTAACTACAGAAGAAGGAACAACATACGAATTCGAAGAAGTAAATAGGTTCAAATATCTAGGAGTAGTAATTACAAACAAAAACGAAATGAACGAAGAGATAGAAGAACGGATCGCGAAAGCAAACAAGAGTGTAGGAAGATTAAACAGATTTCTGAGGAGTAAGAATGTAACACGATGAACAAAGAAACAAGTATATAAGACAATAGTAAGACCTACAGTCCTGTACGCTAGTTAAACATGGACGCTAACGAACGAAAAGGAACAGAAGTTGGAAGTATGGGAACGCAAGATACTACGAAAGATATATGAAGGTATAAAAGAACTAGACCAATGGAGAAGAAGAACAAACCGAGAGATCGAGGAAATATACGGAGAACCAACAATCACGAAGATAATCAGAGCACAGAGACTAAGATGGCTAGGCCATGTCGGAAGAGCACCAGAGGAAA